TTGAAATTTTAGGGTGAATCGTTTGAGATGAATCTTTTTTTATAACATGGGTCTCTCACCTTAACATACATACCAAGTTTCATAAACATCGGTTGGAAAAGTGTAAAGATAGGCTAAATATTTGTATGTAAAAAATACAAAATGGCGGATATCTGGTTAACGAAACGATTTTGGAAAATGTTATCCTTCATTTTCTGTTTATTTTGACCCAAGGAATTACTAGGTTAAGTATCTCTCCGCTTATTTTTAACACACTGTTTATGATGTATTCTTATTAATATAAGTGAAAAATGTAAGCTGGTAATACAGAAAGATGTTTTATAAATAATATGAATGTACTGGTAATCTGTATATTCATCTTTTTCTTGTCCTTAGAACTGTAAATTAAAAGTCCACTCAGCAGTCGCATCGTACGATGTAGTTCTTTCCATGCGTTGCGAAATGCTAAATTTGCCGTCTTCTTCAACCCAAGTTATCTACTGAACCACTGATTGTAAAAAATTCAAAAAAATATATTTTACGCATCACACTTTTGGCTACAACTTTGCCACAGACAAAACCTCTCTAACCCAAAAACAAAAAAAATCTCGCATGCTAACTTTTTCATGTTAGAAATCACGATTTAAAACTATTTCACCATACAAATCATTTTTTTTTAATTAGATCGGTAAATAGTTTAAAGTTCAAACAAAATAGTCATCGAGAAGGACTAACCAAGAAGCTCTGTGCCAAATTTCAAAATTTTAGCACAACTTTAAGTACACCAAAACACGAAATTATTGAAGTCATGCGTCGAGAGGACTATCGTTGTTTTTAACAGATTATACTTTTGACCTTCCGGCACTGTTGACTCAGCGAAACTGAACTTATATTTTATCTTATTTCGTTATATTAAAACTGCTGTTGCATTAGGTCAAATTCCCAATAAGTCAATTGCTTTAACATAGACTAAGCTTTTAGCCCGGACTGTACTATTTGACTTTCTGGGATTTTTGATCTACAGACACTGCAAACATTGTAGTTTTTGACCTAGCGGCACAGGTATAAATTATTTGACCTTCCGGGACTGTTGACTTTCTGCAACGCGTCCGCTTTAACATAGACTACGTTTTTAGCACGGACTGTATTATTTGACTTACTGGGATTTTTGATCTACAGACACTGCAAACATTGTAGTTTTTGACCTAGCGGCACAGGTATAAATTATTTGACCTTCCGGGACTGTTGACTTTCTGCAACGCGTCCGTTATTTGCATCAAGAGACAAACACTGAGACATGGCCTTGCCATATAAGTTATTTCCATCAAGAGACAAACACTCGGGGTAAAAACTGTCTTGTACATGAATACAGACAGCTTTGTCACAAACATAAATTGTGATGACAAGCTTTTTGCACTTCACCAGTCACTCTGCCACCCTGGTATCACTAGGATGTACTACTGGGTAAAAAGTAAAAACCTCCCTTACTCGTTTAAAATATTGGCAAAGAATTGTTGTTCATTTAAATTAAAGAATAAGTAGCTTTGGAAATTCAAGATTGAAATTCAAAATGTCGAAAATAAAGGAAATATGGGATAAAGAAAAAGGGAGATCAAGGTAAATCATGTATGTGAAAATGTTATTCAAAAAAGTTTTTCTCATATTAGCCTACGCAAGATTAATGAAAACGAAAACCAAAATGGCGGTTTCTAGGGGTGGGCGAGTACTCGACTGACGAGTAATTACTCGAGTAGTTGGCAATACTCGACAGTCGAGTCGAGTAGTTAAAGATACTCGTGACTCGAGTCGAGTAGTAGACGTTAAGCCGATTTAGTTATTTTCATTGATATTTGACAAATAAATAGTAAGAAAGGAAAATCTTTGAGTTTTATTTAATCCCTTAACCCCTTTAAATATTGACATACTAGGCCTACTAATAATCGGCAACCTAGACATCGCTTGCGTTATCCATTTCACTGACAGCGACAGCGCCGACAGCTGAGCTGACACTGGGTGATAGGTCGGCAGTGGTGTAGGTGTGCGAGTGCGATGCATCGAATCCCGATTCGATCCAGCATGCATCAAAATCCCGATGCATCGATTACGTCACGATACAGCTCTACTAGTAAAAAGGGATGATTCGATTATCGTCATCGATACCACCGATACTTGGACATTGGTATCGGTACCAAGACTCGATTGTCAAAAGTCGATTCCGATGATACCGACATCCGACAGGGATAAATATTTTATTTTAACATTTATTTACTGTATAGCTACAGTATTAGTTTTGTCATCACGGTTAACAATATTCATAGCCAACTTAGAAACTGGTGCCGGTGACATTGTTTAGCTTCAGCATTGCACAACACAATCTACGAATCTACATTTCAAGATGTCAGACTCAACTCAAGAGACAACCGGCGCGCGAATGTCCTGCCAACACGAAATTAATTATACTAAACAATGTCTGTATCAATAAGTCAGACATTTAGACGTATTATTTTTATTTTTAGTACAAAATAAATAACCTAAACACGTCGAAATTTTCAGTTTAATAATCCCTGCATTATACGCATCATTAGAAAAATTATATTCAACCATTAAACTTTAACATCATCGTATGGTTAGGCTTGTTTTATATTGCGCCAAAAAGTAGATCCATATTTTGATCTGTACTATCTACCTGATTAAAGAGTTTAGTGAAGTTTTATGTGCTTCTATAACATAATGTATTTATTGAAAAATATTATAAGCCTTGATTTTGTAATGTTAAAACGATTGGTGAATGTTGACAATAAAAGTATGTAACAACAGTTCTCATTGGGCAGGAGGCGTCAGTGCACTACCATGTCAGCCAATCAACTTTCGTGTTTCAATGGAGCAAATGACGATTGCTTTGATATCGTTTAATGTTTTATTGTGGGTGGAAAGGGTATCGATAAATATCGTGATTCGAGATCCGATATGTAGGACGTGTTTGTTTATAAATAATGAGTATTTAAGTATAAAAAACTAGGTTACAGACAGGTTCAAAACTTCGATTGTTCCGATCCATTGTTGACACCTCTACACGGAGGTTATAGTGACGTCGTGCATAAGGGCCAGGCAGGCCGGTTCACAGTGAATCCACTCTGCCGAACCTTGTTCTTGGTATAATCGGGAACATAGTCAAACACTTTTGTTACTAAATAAAACTATGAAATGTTTGTTAAAAGCACTCTTTTGGTCTTTTGGAGATTTTAGTCCCAAAACATAATCTTTATTGTAGGCTAAAAGTAAAACCTATCTGTTGCCATACTTTTCTCCACAGACGTCGACATAGGCTATTATGCAATGTCTTTAAAAAATACCAGGGTTTCAGTCAAAATACTTTTGTAAACATTGACAATGTGCTGTTTTAGCACAGTTCATTCCTTGACCACGATCGTTTTTACTCACTAGAGAAAAGACTCTCCTAACAAAATGTATTTGTAGGCCAAGATGTTTGTAATTTTTTTAATGTATAACTGCAATTGCTTTTAAAAAGAAATACAAAAACTGACAAATGACTTAGATTAATACTTAAAAAGTTAAGCCTATTTATAAATTAGAGGAAACTTTATTAGATCTCGTCATAGTCAAATTCAAACATTTACAGTATTTCAAAATAATTTAACACTCTTGTGTAATAGAAATCTGCAAGCCACTGAGGCCGAGGGTGAGGGAGGGCATGTGAACCAGGCTTTAGAACAAGGGCAAATTCTGCCAAACGTTCTCTTTTCCTCCCCCATGTCCCGTTAGACGGTGGGTGGGGCTTCACACAATAAACAGTTCATTCATTCACTGTAGAGAAGAGTTTTTGTGGTAGTGACGTATGTCTCTTGTCTGCTCTTCAAGTTCACACATCTGGACTTCTTTAAAACAATTATAAGTGATGATAATCTTTATTAAAAATAAGTGAAAAACTGTTGACATTTTCAAGGAAAAAAAGTTGAGAAATAAAAGTGTTAAAAATTTTGTTTGATTAGTTATTCTGTATTTCAAAAATATCCTCATTTATGATTATGTTTTCAGCTAGACTTGGTGACTTTTTCATAGTTAAACAAATTTTGAAGATATATAATTAGTGAGAAAATGTCATTATATAGGAAGTTAGTTTTTACTCACTTGGGGGAAAAAAACTTACCTTACAAAGAGTATTTGTAGACCAAGATGTAGGCTAAAACGTAATTAAAAAAAAAATTATAAACTAATGAGTTAACTAAGACAATTTCATGGAATTTCAAATAAATATAAAAACTGAGAAATTACTTAGATAAATACTTATAAGCCTATTTATAAATTAGAGGAAACTTTATTAGATCTCATGCTTTAGTCAAATTCAAACATTTACAGTAGGCCTATTTTAAAATAAACACTTAGTTCCATATTTTTGCAATTTCTTTTGCAATTAATAATAAACCTTTAACACCAAAATATAAGTTTGATACACATACATATTGTGTTTTTTATATGGTATAAAAGTTTTTAACCAGGTCTATTTTTGGTGAATTGAGAAATGCTTTGTTCGTAAAAATGAAGATGGAATATAGGTATGTAAAATAAAATTTTTTATTTTCTCGTGAACTACTCGACTCGACTCGATACTCGAGTATTAGGGCTAATTACTCGACTCTACTCGACTCGACTCAAAAAAACACTACTCGCCCATCCCTAGCGGTTTCCACTACTTACCAGATTTAAAAGCCATAAACGTTTCTATAAAGGTTGAATTTTGTGTCTAAAATTGTTGGCGGATGTGTAACTATTTTAACAATACACGTAAAGATCAAAATGTTTCTATTTCATGTCCTATTCCTGTTGCAAAGCATGGGTTCAACAGCTAGTAGGGAATAAATCTGAAATATGACAAGTTGAAAGAAATATTTTTGTTAAAATTCAATCTCACAAATTGAAATTTGCTTAGTCTGCAGGTTTGCTGTGGCGGGGGTATCTTTTTTATTAGACTGCAATGTGGTATTTACTTGTGATTTTTACAGAACGCTGGGTGGAGGTCACAAGGCCAAGCGGCCGCAGGGCCAGCTAGAACTGCTGTGGGGAGAGACTCACATCGAAGAGCAGTTGCTGGACCTCAAGCTGGAGATCGACCCCAACTTCTACTTCCAAAATAACACGTGGGGAGCCGAGGAGCTCTACAAGGCTGTCAAGGAGCTGGCAGGAGTAGACACTGACACTACAGTGCTGGACCTGTGTTGTGGCTCTGGTGGCATGGGCATGATGTTTGCCAAAGTAAGGATGGCGTATCAGTCAGTAATAGCCTGCCAAGTCCCACATATGGGACATGATTTGAACTATCCAACAACTGTCTATTCCAAATCTCAAACTCAAAACCCTAAATTGTTGGGTCCTAAATCTTGTGTCTGTTATGAGTACAATCATATCTTATTAACATGGTTGATTAAATAAATATACAATATACAGGGTAACCAACACTCAGGAATCAGAGGTTTTTTTTTTAGTGGATAGCATACACGTGATGGTTTTTGTCGCGAATAGTCAAACTTTCTAAGACATAACTAAAAGTCATAATTATTATAGGTAACGTTATCCCTCATTTTATATAGTATACAGTACATTGCAGAATTGACTGGCAAATGAGTAATCCAAATTTAATATTGCTTACTGGCTTAATGATAAATAACGATCAGCTGTATTTAACTATTAAAGTTCACAAAAATCAGCAGTAAATGGCTTCCAATGCTATTCTTATAGAGAACGTTTTACGTTATATCTAATTTTGTGTTAAAATTTTGGGAATTTCACTATTTTTCGCGCCGTCACGGGGTCGAGTCGAGACCTTTAATTTTAGCCCTCTCCCAACGTTCTGCGACTTCCCAGTCGCCCAAAATTTTGACGCAAAATGTCAAAAATAAACCTCACAAAAAACAGGGGTGTTAATGGCTTACGTAATTAATACCTTTGTTTTAAGAGTTCATTGTGTTTTTCGGCGTCAGACAGTCTCAGCCTAGCCACTGAGGATGCCTCTTCATAGTAAGGGCGAAACGTCTGGCGAGTTTGGTAGTGACGACACGGTTGACACCGAAAAACACCATGAACTCTTATGACACCGGCCGCAAAAGCCTACGTAAGAATACCTTTGTTTATTTTGAACAAGATCCAACGTGCTTACAACTCAGGATTCAATGGCCGTTGTGTGTATTATATTCATTGAAAGGGCTATTTCTAGTTTCTGCGATATGCTGGGGTTCCAAAGTCACGAGATTTGAGCGTGTGTGAAATTTTCATTGATGTTTTAAGGATGCTCAAAAAAATATGGCATGAAAAATGAAATAACAATAAAAAAATTCCTAAAACAGAGCCTAGCATAAATATTGTTTTCAGCCAAAAACTAAAATATTTCTAACAATTTAGAGGAAATTGTTGGAGCTGTTTTTGAAATCATTTAGCGTGTAAACGGTACTCATAACTAGGTGTGCAGTCTCAGTTCCCCCAATTTAGCAAACAACAGAAATCTAAAACAAATGTCAAATGCTGATTCAAAACCTACAAAAATTTCAAACTGTTTTTCTCTTCACGCTTCAACAGTCTGTTCAGTCCAGTGAGATGGGAAATAGATAAAGAGATAAATCACATCTTGGTTCAATAGAGTTTCACAAGAATTCAACTTTTTAACGCTTAAATTGTTGTGTAAAGAGTAATTTTCTGGGAATTTAAAGTGCGTATACCAGTCTGATGTAGTGTATAGAGTGTGTAAATGTAAACAGATATAATCTACTGCCATCGGTTACAGAATTTGAGATGGTCAAGCATATAACAAATTTGAGAGCAAAAACTGACTAAAATACTTGTATATATACCTCTATTAATAGATAAGAGGGACTTCTAGAGATTGAATTGTAATGTATACAGGTCTGAAAAGGACTAGACTATATAAATGTGTTGATAAAACAACACTGTAGAAGTATCTGCCACTTTGAGAGTAGATTTCTTATGGTAGAGTGTAAGTTTTTATCATTTTCAAGCCTCAATAATAGTAGTTAAAGTTATTCCATGGTAAGTTGCAGTGTAAAACCTGGTACATCTGTTGTAACCAACAAATGGTAGGAGTATATGGTAAAAAAACCTTAGGTTTTAATGTTAAATCTGTATGGAAGGCCAAAACAGTGTATTATTGAGGTTACTCGTAGAGTTTTTCCGAAGCATACTGTTTTGGCCGTATCTCAGTTATTTCTCGACCGAATGTAACGAATCTGGCTTTAAAAGTTGGGTATTTACATGGGGTTTATGGTATAATACATAACTTAAAATAACTAAATTTGTTACCAATACTCAAAGTTAGGCTAGTAGAATTGCTAAACTGAGCTATTCTAATTAACTATACAGCCCGATGTGTAACTGACTCACTGACTCACTCACTGGGGATACAAATTCTAGACCACTTCTAGAAGTGCTAGGGAGTTGAAATTTGGCACGATTGTCAGTCTTGGTACCAAAACCCCGGGAAAATTCTGAAAAGTTGCATTTTTTTATTTTATCCCCCCCCTTTTTTAAGAATTTCCCCCCCCCCCAATGTTATTCTTATGGGAAATGACATTGAAAAATTCCAACTTTGGTATGCTCATCTGAACCACTTAGAAACGTGCTAGAGACTTGAAACTTGGTAGTATTGTCGTTAGGGATGGACGGGATTGAATTTTTAGTTCGGGACGGGACGGGATTTTTATTTCCTTCCCGATTTTCGGGACGGGACGGGACGGGATTTTTTTCTGTGCATAAAAAGAAAGTACTGTTTTGCAGTTACCAAAAAACACATACGAAATCAATTTTTACCATTTGTGGCACTGATCTATAGAAACCAAAAAATGGGTAACAATTTAGAGGTACCTATAGTAACTTGTGACTCGCGGGTCACGGGGTGATCGTCTGTATGACTCACAGTCACGGCGCGATCGTCGTCATGACTCACGATCACGGCGCGATCGTCGGTATGACTCGCGGTCACGGCGCGATCGTAGGTAGGACTCCATGGTCACGGCGCGATCGTCGTCATGACTCGCGGTCACGGCGCGATCGTCGGTATGACTCCGCGGTAACGGCGCGAACGTCGGTAGGACTCCGCGGTCACGGCGCGATCGTCGATATGACTCGCGGTCACGGCGCCATCGTCGGTATGACTCGCGGTCACGGCGCGATCGTCGGTATGACTCGCGGTCACGGCGCAATCGTCGGTAGGACTCCACGGTCACGGCGCGATCGTCGGTATGACTCGCGGTCACGGCGCAATCGTCGGTAGGACTCCACGGTCACGGCGCGATCGTCGGTATGACTCGCGGTCTCGGCGCGATCGTCGGTAGGACTCCACGGTCACGGCGCGATCGTCGGTATGACTCCGCGGTAACGGCGCGAACGTCAGTAGGACTCCGCGGTCACGGCGCGATCGTCGATATAACTCCGCGGTCACGGGGTTATCGTCGGTATGACTCGCAGTCACGGCGCGATCGTCGGTATGACTCGCGGTCACAGCGCGATCGTCGGTATGACTCGCAGTCACGGCGCGATCGTCGGTATGACTCGCGGTCACAGCGCGATCGTCGGTATGACTCGCGGTCACGGCGGTCACGGCGCGATCGTCGGTATGACTCGCGGTCACAGCGCGATCGTCGGCATGACTCGCGGTCACGGCGCGATCTTCGATATGACTCGCGGTCACGGCGCGATCGTCGATATAACTCCACGGTCACGGGGTTATCGTCGGTATGACTCGCGGTCACGGCGCGATCGTCGGTATGACTCGCGGTCACGGCGCGATCGTCGGTAGGACTCCATGGTCACGGCGCGATCGTCGGTATGACTCCGCGGTCACGGCGCGATCGTCGGTATGACTCGCGGTCACGGCGTGATCGTCGGTATGACTCGCGGTCACGGCGTGATCGTCGGTATGACTCATGGTCACAGCGCGATCGTCGGTATGACTTTGCGGTCGCGGCGCGATCGTCGTTATGACTCCGCGGTCAGTCGGTATGACTCCGCGGTCACAGCCCGATCGTCGTTATGACTCGCGGTCACGGTGCAATCGTCGGTCCAATAATCGCGGCCACGGCGCGATCGTCGTTATGACTCCACGGTCACGGTGCGATTGTCGGTCCAATAATCGCGGCCACGGCGCGATCGTCGTTATGACTCCGCGGTCACGGCGTGATCGTCGAAATGACTTCGTCTCCTGCGTTCGCGGACCTATCGCTCGCAATAACGGCGTTATCGGCACTCGCGAAGCGGAAAAATCGCCGACGATCGGACCAAATCCCGTCCCAAAAAATTCCCGAGTCAAATGTAATCCCGTCCCGATAATCGGGAATATTTTTTTCCCGAAAAATTCCCGAAATTTCGGGACCCGTCCATCCCTAATTGTCGTATGGGATCTTACATTAACGGTGAGTTTTGCAAAAGTCCCATTTTCAAATTTGAACACGCTTGCTACTGAGCGTCGCATATATGCGACGCCGCGGTCATTGCCACAGACCGAGGTATACATTTGAATCTTACACATAGACCGACTGTCACTTGGATAACAGTACACACAGACCACGGGCAAAAACCTGTAAAACAGCGATCATTTACATTGTAATACGCTACAATGGTGTTTGTAAATAAATTATTCTTGTTTATTTGTAATTTTTATAACCTTTTGTAATGTCGCATATTATACTTTTGAATCTTACACATAGACCGACTGTCACTTGGATAACAGTACACACAGACCACGGGCGAAAACCTGTAAAACAGCGATCATTTACATTGTAATACGCTACAATGGTGTTTGTAAATAAATTATTCTTGTTTATTTGTAATTTTTATAACCTTTTGTAATGTCGCATATTTGCGACGCCCGGTCTACAGCGAAGACAATAATGAAAATTATCATAGTTTTCTTGAAATAGACTAAACGTCGCATATATGCGACAGTTCATTTTTTTGTGTTTTAAGATGAAAGTAAGTAAAGAAATAAACAGATTATTCAAGAACAGTTTATAACTGGACAAATATAAAAGCTACATAGGATAATGCAGCATACATACTGCATACATACATACAGTGATGCAGAAAAGTAAAGACCAGTTTTTCCAACTATTATATGACGTCACCAATCATCATATCCACAGACCAAGCGACGCAGTTGTGCGTCAGACATCTCTGTAGACCACTGCAGGGAATTCGAATTCAGTGCCTTCAAATAGACCACTACAAAGATATAAGCATTTTAATAACATTAGAACCCCGACGCAAATATGCGTCGGCAGTCTATTTTAATGTGACAAGCCGTCGCATATATGCAGTCCATGGGTGGGAACCGGCCGTCGCATATGTGCGTCGCTGGTCCATGTGAATGGAAAATTTCGTACTATTGCAGTAGCGAACGTGTTAACCACCCTAAAAATTCAAAATGGCGGACCTCTAAAAACGACAAAACGCCTATAGCTCGAAAACGGTAAGAGCTAGAAAAGATTTGAAAGAATTTTCATGAACGGGAATTAAATTTTCTACAAAACCCTCTTAGGCGTTTTCCGAATACACTCCTTAACCCCCCTTAAAACGCCCTACCTTCAAAATTTAAATTTGGTAAATTTCTTTCAAATTTTTTTCTGGTTTGCGCTATTTTTTCATACTTAAATAATTTTTTTTGCAAACATTATTATTGCTTTGTATTATCCTTACTTTACTTAAAATTTTACTCAACGATGTTTTTTCGTAACTTTACTCCTTGACCCCTGAAACTTAATTTTAAAGTCAAAATTTTAAAGTTCTTACGAGCCCCATGTTATTCTCATCGAGAATAACATTGAATTGACTTTGTTATGATCATCTGAATCGTTTAGAAACGTGCTAGAGACTTGGAAATTTGGCAGTAACGTAGATTGGTATCTTAAATTAACGAGGAAATTTGCAAAAGTCCCATTTTCAATTTTTAACCCTCCCACAAATCCAAAATGGCGGACCTCTGAAACAACAAAACAGGTTTTTTTTTCAAACGGCTATAGCTCGAAGACGGTAAGAGCTAGAAACGATTTGAGGGAAAATCGTAGGTTCCGAATTAAATTTTCTACAAGACACTATTAAGCTTTTTTCGAAAATCGCACTGCCTTAACCTTCAATAAACGCCCTACTTTCAAAATTTGGTAAATTTCCTTCAAATTTTTAACGGTTTTTGCTATTTTTCCATACCTAAATAATTCCCTTTTGCAAATATTATTATTGCTTTGTATTCTCCTTAGTTTACTTAAAATTTTACACACTACGTGTTTTTTCATAGCTTTACTCCTTGACCCCCAAAACTTACTTTTAATGTCAAAATTTGAAAGGATTTGACCACTATTACGAGCCCCATGTTATTCTTATGGCGAATAACATTGAAATTTTAAGACTTCGGTATGCTCATTTGATTTGTTTAAAGACGTGCTAGAGACTTGAAATTTGGTAGTATTGTAGTACAGTAGACTCCCTCTTATCCGGACCCCTCGGGACCGAGGCCAGTCCGGATAACGGTTTTCCCGGTTAAACCTACGTCCCCAAACACTTGTTAAAACGGACCGTTTACTGTGATATTCAACTTAAATTTAGGAGAGCATTGTATTCAGTCACGTGATATCTGGTCTCAAATCTCTCCCACGAGAACAGTTGTTTCAGTACTGCCCACTTCCTGCCAATCTAGTCCGGTTAAACCAATGTGCTGATAAAAGTTGTCCGGTTAAAGAGATGTCATTTCCGCCAAGTGTAGTCCGGTTAAACAGATGTCCGGTTAAAAGGTGTCCGGATAAGAGGGAGTCTACTGTATGGGATCTTTAATTAACGGCGAATTATGCAAAAGACCGATTTTCAAATTTTTGACCCCGCCTCAACAATCCAAAATGGCGGACATCTAAAAACGACAAAACACGTTTTTTTTCAAACAGCTATAGCTCAAATACCCCCGCCGCAGCAAACCTGCAGACTAAGTGAATTTCTATTAACCTGATTGGATTTACACTAAAATGCCTCCATAAAAATATCACATTTATTTCCTATTTAAATAGAATTAGTTTAACAAGTAGGCTACATAGGGGTTATTACAAATGATGTTCATGATTTCATACATACATGAAATATAGTTTTATTTGTTATACGGAAAAATAAAATGGTTACAACTTTTGAAAAACTCAACAAGTTTTGACACAGATACACAGAACTGTAAATGCTCGATACGGGAACCCCTTGTGGTACGATACATGTCAATAATGTAGTCAAGCTCTTGCTAGACTTAAAGTGTGTCTAGGTCTATTGTTTCGATAGCATTGGTAATCCGTTGCTGGATCTCAAGTATGCTATCTGATAATGGTCAGTGTGTACGCCTTATCTTTGATGTAACCCCACAAGAAAAAAATCAGGGGGTGATGTCCGGAGATCTTGTAGGCCAGTTCAGGGGTGTGTCATTATTCGGACCACCGAGCTCGTTCCATATATCAGGCAGCACATTGTTAAGTTCAGCCCTACTACAAGTAACATTCAAATGCAGCCATTTCTCTAAAATTTCAAGTGTCACTTGCCAATATAGTGGTTACTAGGAGGATAGTCGTTTAACCTGGTTCTAAAGTGTCGTTGCACACTAATAACAGATTGGTTAATGTAATATTCCAACTGGCAAAAAGCTTTCCTGCCTTCAAATTCAGCCATTACACAACTCTTACAACAATTGACTTGACAAACAGCTTATATGTACCCAAACCAATGTAAATGAAACTTTATGAGTTTTTCTTTCCGATGGTACCAAATAAAATAGCTGGTACCAAATAAAATAAAATAGTACCAACGCTGATGAGGGGTCTTAAAATATTCTTGACTCCAACGGCAGCATAGGCTTTGGGTGATGTCTTGAGGTAAATTATCAATAAGAGGTGAGATCTTTGTTGGGTCAGGAACAGTTGTCAGAGAAGAGCTGATAAGAAAATGGCCAGGAGTTACAGCTGTCAGTTTAAAAAGTTTTGAGTTTGATATTGCTTCTTTTTGTTCTTGGTTGGAGTGATTTCTGTTATCAGCCATAGGCTTAGTAGACTTCAAAAAATGAAGGAGTGTGTGATGAAGTTTCAAACAGGTCTTACAAGTATTAGTCGACTTGCAGCGTTTAGCAAAGTGTTTACCAAGGCAATTTGTGCAGCGTTTTAAGTCGCGTACAACTTTAAGCCTTTCTTGAGGGGTTTTACTATTAAAGACAGGGCAACTGTATATTTTGTGATTTGTATGGCAGCAAAAACATTTAAAATCATTTGAAGTACATATCAAGGCCATAGGAGGATGTTGAAACTGAATTGATTCATCAATTTGACGTGGAACTTGGTGAGGGTTGGATATTTGGAGAGGAGCTGCTTGCTGACTGTGACGTAGAGATGCATCTTCACTGTTGTTACAAAAATCTTTGAGGAATTTGATTATTTCACTAGCTTGAGGAAAATCAGAAGAATTTATGCGTTTTGATTCAAAAACTTTACAGAGGTTGGAATTCATTTTTCGTAAGATCAACATACTTAGTAGGTAGTTGTCTTTCTTGACATTATAGTCAAGAACACTAAGAGCTTGTTCATTTTCATTAAACTCATTTAAAAATGATCTGAGGTTTTTGATAGATTTTTCAATAATATTGGGCAAATCGACAATTTTACTGAGGTGGACAGAGATTAGCCTACGCTTCGAGTGGTATCTTTCCCGTAAAGCATTATAGGCTACTGTATAGTTGCCAGACGAGATCGGTAAAGATTTGATTAAGTGTAAGGCTTCGCCTTCAAGTGAACTTATCAAGTACTGGTGTTTTTCAACAAGGGATAAGCTACTATTGTTGTGGATAGTAGTATCAAAAAGGTTAATGTAGGATATCCATGTTTTAGTGTCACCATTGAAGGACTTCAGTTCTAGCTTAGGCAATTTTACAATGCTAGAAGTAGGCCTAGAGGTTAGGTTTGATGTTACCGAGTTATTTGAAGTGTTCCTCATTAGAGTTCTGAATTAGAAGAGAAATTTTGGTTTGAATGTTAATTAAGAGTTCTGTTATGTCGTTCTGGAGCTTTAAAATAGCTTCTTCATTGTCAGAAAAAACTTAAGTGTCGTCATCAACATCAAGAAGCTTATCTAGGTTAGATTCAAAATTGGCAGAAATTGCTTTAGCTTCGTGCAAATAAAGGTTAAGTTTAGCGGTTTGAGCTTCTGTTATTTCTGATGGACACGATTGAATATACTCACTGATCGTATTTAATTTATTTATTTGCAATTTGCATCTATTGGAAAATGTGTAAAATCTCATTTTGAAAGTTAGGCCTAGATCGTTCAATGAGTTAAGTAATTGTCGAGCTATTGTAATTGGAAGGAGTAATTAGAGGATAAGGACAACTGAGGAATAAAATCTGGGTTTCTTTATTATTTTCTTGTGGGTATTGATTTATTGTTAGAACTTACGATGAGATGCGATGAGTTGTCTTCATTGTCTTCGAAGAATTACAAACATAACCTTACTTTTGACATGACGTTTGAAGCTGAAGTTGTAGACGAAATGAAGTGTCGACGAAGTGATGAATGCGGAGCAGAACTAGAAGAACGATGACGATGTTGAACACTTGGAATGAGAGGAGTGTGGACTGTATCGTGACGTAGACAAAAAGGTTCAAAAATAGCGATGCGGTATTGTCTTTGGCGGCTTCACGTTGGATGAAATACGTTCAACCGAGACATTTGAAATAACTTGAGAAAAAGTCGCACTAATGTTCGTAAATATAATCCGCGGCTCGAAGGACCAAAAATGTGCGGTGTAATTATATTATAGAGGAAAAAGTCGAGGGTTTTGGTATAAAGAGGTTGATTTATTACGATAAAAAATTAGTACGTGATGTTATGAGCGGTGATTTGAGACGAAAAAAATGAATGCAACAATGAAAATTGACATATGGTAATGTGATGGGAATTACAGATTGACTGTTAAAAACAAAGACATAAAATTAATACAAAAAACAAAGGCAACTTGACTGAACATATGCAGTTAGATTTTTATCCAACTTTTAGAATCGTACATTTTAATTTGTTTTCAACATCCAGTGAATTATTTCTTACACTTGTGTTTTTGGCAGGATTGCAAGGAAGTTATTGGTGTGGAAGTGATGGATGTGAACGTAGACGATGCCAAGAGACTGGCAGCCAAGAATGGACTGACCAACTGTGAGTTCCTCCAAGGCTCAGTAGATGATTTATTTCCGGAACTGGAAGAGAAACTTAAAGGAAAGAAAGTCGTGCCTATCCTGGATCCTCCACGAGCTGGCATCAGTAAGTTCCTTGGTTTTCCTTAAGTAGTCAGACTTGTGTAGGCTCTTATTATAGTTTTTCTTATAATAGCATTAAATTATGGGTTATGTCTAAAGATCAGTTCAACTTTTTTTGAAGCAACTACTAATGTGTCGATACCAAAATTTATCGATTCTTGATGCCAATATTGATACCTGAAAATCAATTCTCGATACCAATTATAGTTTTACCAAATTTTCTGAATGGATTGGTAATACAGTGTGTATACCAACCAGGGAAACCGGGATAGCCGGGTAAAAACCTTTAAGTTGAAGAGACCTGGAAAAACCGGGAAAAAGCCAGGATTTTTTAACAATTCCGGTTTTTATTTTAGCCCCGGTAGAAGATTGCAATCGTAAAACGCGCATTTGCCCCGATCGCGGAAGACTGTGATGAAGTTTCCATGACCGCGGGAGACGACGATACCGTCTACACGGCCACGGAAAATATTGATGATTTTGCCGTTTCCGTGACCGCGTAAGTCAATGATTATGTCTACACGGCCGTGGAAGACTTTCATGATTTTGCTGCTGTAAATTTGATCTTTTCAAAACAAAACAAGAATATTATAACAAAAAAATTAAACGTTCATCAAATATTTCAAAAACAACATGGTCAATTATCAACAAGGAAGTTATTAATGGCAAAAACCAAAAAGAACTGGAAAATATGGCATAAAGATTTAACAATAAGATAGTTAACAATCCAAAAGAAATTACAAATATTTTAAACTCATTTTTTACAAAATCTTCAAAGTTACATATAAAATTTTGTAATACAGTAGAGTCCCACAAACTCGGCGTAATGTGGACTGGAAGAGTGTCGAGTATGTGAAATGCCGGGTTATCAGGAACTAGGCAGGGTGTCCACCGACCAGGAAAACCGGGAATTATGCGAGAATTTTGTATTTAACCGGGAATTTTTTGCCGCGACCGCGGGAGACGCCGTTACGTTCCCGTCAACGCGGGAGACACCGATGACATTCCTGTCACTGCGGGAGACGACGATGACGTTTCCGTGACTGCGGGAGACGACGATGACATTTCCGTGATCGCACATGCAGACGATGACGTTTCCGTGTCCGCGGGAGTTAACAATGATGTTTTCGTACCCGCGGGAGACGACGATGACGTTTCCGTGACTTCGGGAGACGACGATGATTTTTCCGTGACTTCGGGAGACGACGATGACGTTTCCGTGATCGCGCATTCAGACGATGACGTTTCCGTGACCCCGTGAGACGATGATGATGTCCAAATGGCCGCGGGATATGTTAGTGATTTTGCCGCTATCGCGCATGCGGACGATGACGTTTCCTTGACCTCGGGAAACGATGATGACGTTTCTGTGACCGAGGGAGATGACGATGACGTTCCGGTGACCACGGGAGACGATGATGACGGTTCCGTGATCGCGGGTGAAGACAATGACGTTTCCATGACAGTGGGAGACGACGACGATGTTTTTGTGATCGCGGAAGATGACGATGACGTTTCCGTGACCGCGCATGCAAACGATGACGTTTCCGTGACTGCGGGAAACGATGATGATTTCCAACAGTATTGCTTGACGATGATGACCTCGGGAAATTATTTGATTTAAGCTACCATCGAGGAAGGTTATGATAACTTTACTGTGATCGCGGGAGACGATTATAATGTTTCCGTTACTGCTGGACTATATCAGGATTTTTCCACGACCACGGAAGACAGTGGTGATATTTCTGTTACTGAGTGAGATATTCAGGATTTTTCAGTTATTGCAGAAAACGATGATGGTGTCTCTACTACTGTGTTAGATGATTACAATATAACCCCGAGTTTAGCTTTAAGAAAAAATTTCAAAATGGCACACTTCTAGAAATTTTTTTAAAATATTTTTTTGTAATATCTTCATCTACCTTTAACGTGGTATTTATTTAATGTGTTTAGAAGGGTTTAAAACATTAATTGGCTACGTGCAATTTTTTTAATTTCTGCGTTATTATTTCTTTAGGCTACTTGGAAAACAACCCATTACTCAAAAATTAGGCTATATGAAAGTACATAAAACCAGGGGTTGGTGTAGTAATCCTTCAGAAAATTTGGAAAAATTGTTATGATCAGTATTAAATTAAGAATCTATTTTTCAGGTGTCTGTACAGAGATTCAATAAATTTTGGTATCGACATATCACTATTTTTAGGAAGTTATTAATAAATTGCAGGTTTAAGGATTAGTCTTTAGTTTTTGGATTATTTAATCAGTAATATATAAAAATTGAATACTTGTGTCAGGCAATATTACAGCAATCATAATTTTTTCCCCCTTAACTGAGAATGCTCTTTCCGATAACTAAAATAGCGAGCTGTGTTAGTGCTAAAACAGCATTGGGGGAGTTGGCGCAAAACACGTTGGAAATTTTAGTAAGAAAAGTACGACCTGAACATCCTGGATTTTTTTTTACTCATGAATTACTCATGATTTTTTTCTGGTTGGCCTGGTGGACATCCTGCTAGGGTTAAAAATAAGAACAATGCAATTTTTAAGCCTTTTAGCTGCCTTTGTTATTTATATTTATATTACAAGTCAGGATTAAGTCATCAGATATTGTATAATAAATCCTTGGTACGAGTTGCGAATGATTTTACTTGAGCTGGCTTGAGTACATGTTGAACTCGGACTCAAAAAATCACTAATCTTCTGAGCCAGGTGATGTTCGAGTTATCCAGACTGCCGGGTTATCGGGTGCCGAGTTTGCGGGACTCTACTGTACAGTAGAACCTCGCTAATTCGAATTTCAGAGGAAAGCCAATATATTTTGAATTATAGGAAGTTTAAAATATAGAGAGTTTGAATTATAGAGGTCAGAATAAATAAAATTCGAATTATGGAGATCCCAGTTTTAAGTGTAGAGTTTGAGAGAACGGAGACTAATGAACACATCGTGGGAACATCAATAAGAGCGTCAGTTCATGTTTGAACATGCATATTTTTTGTTCTAAATTCCAATTATAGAGGTTTTTGAACTATCGAGGTTCCAATTAGTGAGGTTCTACTGTACTACATTCGACACCTCTTCAAAAAATATATGTCATACCAAATTTTATTTTGAACCAGTAACTGATACCGAAATAATAACTATTATACAATCTTTAAAAAATAAAACAACATCTGGCTATGACGATTTATCAGTAAAAATTTTAAAAGATGTGAAAGAGGAGATGAAATTCATTTTAATGCACTTAATTAACTCATAATTTGTAACAGGAATTTTTCCAAATGAGCTTAAAATTGCTAGAGTGGTGCCTGTTTATAAAAAAACTCTAGGAAAGATATTTCAAACTACAGGCCAGTGTCAATTCTCCCGGCAATTTCAAAGGTATATGAGAAGGCAGTTTACAAAAGGTTGAACAGTTTCTTGAACCAGTATGATCTAATTGATAATGAACAACATGGTTTCCGTGCTGGTAGATCGACTGTACATCAGCGGTTAGTTTCATTGAAGCAGTGATAAATTCACTTTACAAGGGTTTAAATTCAGCTGGCATCTTCATGGACATGTCCCAGGCATTTGATAATGTAGACCACTATCAATTAATAGCTAAACTTGATAATTTGGGTATTAAAGGAGTCACTCTCAATTGGTTTAAATCATACTTAGAGGAACGTTACCAATTTGTGGAAATATCAACTTTGTCAAAAAACAGCATCATCCAAAAAACAAGATCCAATTTATCAAAGATATTATCTGGTGTCCCACAGGGATCGATTTTTGGTCCTCTTTTATTCATCTGTTACCTAAAAAATCTTCCAAATTCTCTAAATGACCCAGGTAGTAAGATAAGTATATATGCAGATGATATTAATCGTAACACAACTGGGAAATCCCTAACTAATTTAGAAATGTCTGCTAAATCAGAATTAAAAAGTCTGAATCGATTCTTGGTCCTCTTTTATTCATCTGTTACCTTAAAAATCTTCCAAATTCTCTAAATGACCCAGGTAGTAAGATAAGTATATATGCACATGATATTAATCTTAACACAACTGGGAAATCCCTAACTGATTTAGTAAATGTCTGCTAAATTAGAATTAAAAAATCTGAACCAGTTTTTAAAAGACCATAATTTAGCACTTAATGCTAGGAAAACTAATTTCATTCTTTTCAAAACAAAAAGAGACAAAAATGATAAAAGTATAAAGTTAGATATAAAAAAAAATTCCATTGCTCAAGTTTAGATGAGGATTTAAGCTGGGATAAACATGTTGAGTATTTAATAAGAAAACTAAATTCTGTTATATTCGTCCTAAGAACAATGTCATATCTCTGTGAAGGATCAGTCCTTAAAATGATATATCATGCTCATATTGAATCACATAACTCTGGAATTAGTATTCATGGTGGGACAAAGAAAAAGAATTTAAAAAAGATTTTGAAAATACAAAAAAAGCAATTTAATCAGATTAATACATAAATTAAAATATAACCAGTCCTTCAAATCTTATTTTAAAGGGATGGGCATTTTTACAGTTCACACCTTATATATTTTTGAAACAATTAAATATTTTTTTAAATATTGCTGAAACTCATGAATTACCTGTGCATAATTATAATACAAGGGGTAAAAATTATTTAGTTAAAGAACAACCAAGACTTGAACTTTTAAAAATACAGTGGGGTTGTATAGTTGCATATAGTGGCAGAATATTTCAGTTCTGGCGGGGAGGCTGCAATTTTAGGTGGTTATGGTATACAAGTTTCTGAACCTAAAACCACCCAGACCCCAACTTTTAAGGACCTCGGTCGTCCGTAATGACGTCATCAAGATGGCGGCCGTAAAAGGATGCTGGGTCGCCATGAATTGGCTATAATAACCGAATGCCTGAACCAATTTTTATGAAATTTGGCACACAAGTACTTCAATACATTATCTCGGCCCAGGTTGTCAATGGTCAAGTTTGATCAAGTCGTTTCAAAATGGCGGACGTTAAAAGCTAAAA